AATGTTGACTGACCTTCTTAAAAAAAAGGTTTAAAAACAAGGAGCATGTTGTACATATTGTGACGGATAGTAGAGCAAATTATAAAGCGGCGAGAAGACTATTAGCAGAGATTATTTGTGGCCTTTTATGGACACTTGGTGTATCTCATTATATTGATCTCGTGCTAGAAGATATTGGGAAAATTAATGAATTTAAATCTTACATTCAAAAGGCTAGGGATGTCACCACTTTTATTTAATGATACGGGAAACTTCTCAATGCAACGAGGGAACAGACCGGTGGCAGAGATCTGAAGACGCCGTTGACTACCCGATTTGCTACCGCATTTCTTATTTTGCTGAGGATCCCGAAAATGTAATATGGGTGTTCCGTTGTGTCAGATGGGTGACAGACAAAAGATGGCGACACTTGAAAAATCTTCTTGTCCAGAGGGGAATTTTTTCTTGAAGTCTATTGATGCATCTGCTGAGTCGCATGATGCATGAATGTTGGCTGAGCTTCTTGAAAAAAAAAGTTAAAAAAATTTGCAAGGAGCAAGCTGTGCAAATTGTGACGGATAATGGAGCAAATTATAAAGCGGCGGAAGACTATTAGCACAGCTTATTCCCTGTTTTTCTTGGACACCTTGTGCAGCTCATTGTATTGATCTCATCTAGAAGACGTTGGGAGAATGAATGAATTTTAACTATATATTAACAAGGCTAGGGATGTGACAACTTTTATTTATCGACATGGGAAACTTCTCAATGCAACGAGGGAAAAGATTGGTGGGAGAGAATTGGTGAGGCCGGAGACTACTTGATTTGCTACCACATTTCTTAGTATATTGAGGATTTTGTAAATGTAATATGGGTGTTCCCCTTGTGTCAGATGGGGGACGTTCAAAAGTGGGCAACACTTGATAAATTTTCTTATCCAAAGGGGATTTTTTTCTTGGAGTCTATTAATGCATCTGCTGAGTCACATGATGCAAGAATGTTGGCTGACCTTCTTGAAAAAGATGTTGAAAAATTTGCAAAGAGCACTCTGTGCAAATTCTGACTGATAATGAAGAAAATTATAACGCCGCGGGAAGACTATTATCGCAACTCATTCCTTTTCTTTTTTGAACACCTTGTGCAGCTAATTGTATCGATCTCATGTTAGAAGACATTGAGAAAATGAATTAATTTAAATCCTACATTCAAAAGGCTAGGGACGCCACCACCTTTTTTTATCAACATGGAAGACTTCTCAATCCAACGAAGGAAAAGACCGGTGGCAGAGAATTGGTGAGGCCGGAGACTATCTGTTTGATATAGCATTTCTTAGTTTGCTGAAAATGCCGTAAATGTAAGATGGGTGTTCCCTTGTGTCAGATGGGTCGACAGACAAAAGAGGGCAACACTTGATATATTTTATTGTCCAGATGGGACTTTTTTTTTAAAGTCCATTGATGCATCTGCTGAGTCACATGATGCAAGAATGTTGACTTAACTTCTTAAAAAAAGTTGAAAAAATTAGCAAGGAGCATGCTGTGCAAATTTTGAGGGATAATGGAGCAAATTATAAAGCCGCGGGCGAAGACTATTAGCACAGCTCATTCTATTCTTTTATGGACTCCTTGTGCAACTCATTGTATGGATCTCATGCTCGAAGACATTGATAAAATGAATGAATTTAAATCCTACATTCAAAAGGCTAGGGATGTCACCACTTTTATTTATCGATACGGGAGACTTCTCAAGGCAGCGAGGGAAAAGACTGGTGGCAGAGATCTGAAGACGCCGTTGACTACCCGATTTGCTACCGTATTTCTTAATTTGTTGAGGATGCCGTAAATGTAATATGGGTATTCCTTTATGTTGGATTGGTGGACAAACAAAATCGGGCGACACTCGCAAAATCTTCTTGTCCAGAGGGGACTTTTTTCTTGGAGTCTATTGATGCATCTGCGAAGTCGCATGATGCATGAATGTTGGCTGAGCTTCTTGAAAAAAAAGTTGAAAAAATTTGCGAGGAGCAAGCTGTGCAAATTGTGACGGATAATGGAGCAAATTATAAAGCGACGGGAAGACTATTAGCACAGCTCATTCCCGGTTTTTTTTTTGGACACCATGTGCAGCTCATTATATCGATCTCTTGCCATAAGACATTAGGAGAATGAATGAATTTTAACCAATATATTAAAAAGGCTAAGGATGTGACAACTTCTATTTATCGACATGGGAGACTTCTCAATGCAATGAGGGAAAAGACCGGTGGCAGAGAATTGGTGAGGCCGGAGACTACCTGATTTTGTACGGCATTTCTTAGTGTGCTGAGGATGCCGTAAATGTAATATGGGTGTTCCCTTGTGTTAGATGGGTGGACAGACAAAAAAGGCAACACTTGATAAATTTTCTTATCCAAAAGGGACTTTTTTCTTGGAGTCTATTGATGCATTTACTAAGTCACATGATGCAAGAATGTTGGCTGACCTTCTTGAAAAAGATGTTGAAAAAATTAGCAAGGAGCATTACGTGCAAATTGTGACGGATAATGGAGCAAATTATAAAGCCGCGGGAAGACTATTAGCACAGCTCATTCATTTTCTTTTTTGAACACCTTTTTGCAGCTAATTGTATCGATCTCATTTTAGAAGACGACGGGAAAATGAATTAATTTAAATCCTGCATTCAAAAGGCTAGGGATGCCACCACTTTATCGACCTGGAAGACTTCTCAATCCAACGAGGGAAATGAGCGGTGGCAGAGAATTGGTGAGGCCGGAGACTACCCGATATGCTACCGTGTTTCTTAGTTTGCTGAGGATGCCGTAAATGTAATATAGATGTTCCCTTATGTCAAATGAGTGGACATACAAAGAGGCCGGCACTTGAAAAATCTTCTTGTCACCACTTTTATTTATGGACATGGAAGACTTCTTAATACAATGAAGGAAAAGATAAGTGGCAGAAATCTGGTGAGGCCGGAGATTACCCGTTTTGATACTGCATTTCTTAGTTTGCTGAGGATGCCGTAAATGTAAGATGGGTGTTCCCTGGTGTCAGATTGGTGGACAGACAAAAGATGACAACACTTGATAAATTTTCTTGTCTAGATGAGATTTTTTTCTTGGAGTCTATTGATGCATCTGCATATGATTACGATAAAATGTGAGGAAGCTTTGGCTGTCAATTGACAATCAAGCACCAAATGCAAAAGAGTCCTCGTAAGTTATATATGTTACTCTTCTGCCGGTTGTAAATCCAATTAGAGCAATTTGAATTTGTAAGTAAAGTTGTTCGAAATTTACTTATATTAATATTTTAGTAATAATCTTCAAATTTTGATATAAATTTTTATTTCTAGATTCATACAAAGAAAAGAAATAGACTAGAGCACCAAAGGCTAAACGATTTGGTGTATGTTCAATATAATTGAAAGATGCACATTGCTTTCAAAAGCGGCAGGAAGAAGGAAACAATTTTAATCCCTTAATTCTTGAATAATGTCAATGGGATAATGAATAAGTTGATGAATCTCGAGATTTGGTTCATGAAGATGGAGATCTTGAGTGGCATCATGTTGATGAAGCCGTAGGTGCTTCAAGTAATCTCAATAATTCCAACCTTCGTAGTAGAGGTGTTGGTGAATCTTCAGGTCGGCCCATCGTGTATGATCGTTGCCATGGCCCTTCTAAGAGATGTTTGGCAGATGAGGATAAAAAAAATTATGAAGATGATGATATGAACAGTGAAGACTAATGTGAAATTTGAGAAATTGAGTTTTTTTTAGGTATTTTGAAACATTAATTTTTTGACATATTAGTATTTTTATAGTTATGTTTAGTATTTTGATATTTTATTTGAAATTTAGTGATTTGATGTTATAATTTTATATTGTATAATTAAATATTACTCCCCTGTCCCACATAATTTGTCCACTATTTCCGTCCGTCTCACATAATGTGTCATTTTCTTTTTTGGAAATATAATTATATACTTTAATCACATTTCAAAATTTATAATTTATAATTTTTTTATTTTAATTAAACTATTTAATCATCTTAATGTTAATCTATAATTATTTTTATTAAATCATAATTATTTTTACTAATACATTTCTTAATTATCTACTAATTACACAATATCTAAAACTCCGTGCCTAAGTTAAATGAGACAAATTAGCTGGGACGGAGGGAGTAGAAACTTATAATAGGCAGGTTTTCGTATCGCCATATTGTCACCATTTCGGGCATCGTGCCTAAATTCTCGCCGTAATAACCTTGCTTCAAAATCCCTTGCCAATGTAAAACTTTTCGGTCGAATCTATCATGTAGGGTTTTCTTAGTATGACTTATTCGATTGGCCTGGTTTGTGGGCCATTGCGTTTATTCTGGGGGTTTATACAATGTGTATTCAAAAAGTAATGCTTGTGGGTTTTTACGTAATATTAAAAATAAAAAACAAAAAAATAGATTTGAACTTGTAGAGGTCATTGCTCTTCAAAAGCTTTTCTTCGAACTAACATTTTAAGGAATTTAGGCTGTAAGATGATATGTAACCATTATATAGGCCAGCTTATAGGGTTGTTTATTGATGTCCACGGAACGAAGTGCTTTAAGTTGCACAGTGTGGGCTAAGCAAAGAAACTTAGTGGAAAGATTTGGGATAGGAAAATCATGTCACCTTGTAAATTTCATGTTGCCGGTTGATTTCTACTTGATGTTGACAGTGGAAAGCATATTAAATAATTATGCTTCAGAATTAATATATTTGAGCAGTGGGCACTGCACCCCATAAAGATCAGTTATCTATGTCACCTGTCTTGAGAATTTAACATATTATTTTACACATGAATAAACTTGTGTAACATTATCTTACGATTCAGGATTTACCTACAAATACTCTGAAGAAAGCCATGATCTTTTTCAAATGAAAGATTCATAAAGCACTTTGAATGATGGATTGTATGACTAATGTAATTTAGCTCTCCATCTCTCTCTTGTCATCTGGTTAAGAATATTTCTGACGTAGGAAAGGAACAAGCTGGGGCTGCTTCTTCAAGTAGGCTAATGAGTTGTACCAGATCCAGATCAGGTATGTAAATTCTTTAAGCTCTTTAATTGTATCTTACTTTCATTAATTAATATTTTGATGCTCTTTTACATCCAAATAAAATATAAAAAAAAGATAACATTTGGTGAAAGTTGTTTCATCCATTTTTTCTTCACCAAAAATTCAGGAAGATTATTTATGCCAACATTGGAATTTTGGCGCAATGAAAGAGCAATATACAATGTGGTAATGTTTTCTGTTTTTCTTACCTCTTATCATTGAGTGTTAGCGTGCCATTTATTATTAAAGTGTGCACAAGCCCATAACTTGCCAGGCACCATTTTTTTTTTTTTTTTTTCATAAAATTGATCTTAACAATGTCACTATTTGGTAAAACTGTGGTTCTAACTTCTAACTTATTGATTGAAGTCTTAAAATCAGTTTCTGGAATTATGCTTTTTGTGAATTCAGCAATGTAGATCCGTTGATATTAATGGATATTGCTTCTTACCCTGCCTTATCCAACCGAGTGTTCTAAATTCTTTCAGATCTGTATAAAAAATGGCATTGTCTTGAATGCGTAACTTGCACAGATATATTTGCAACCTAATAATTTACATTTCTACTTTCTAGCTTCCATGTGGTTCATATTTTTGGGGATGAATTGATATTTGTTGTTTTTCTCTAACCTATGTTGTATGCTCTATATTATTGTACTATTAGATCATTCACTTCTATCACTAAACTACTTTACTCTTAAAATTTTTTATTTTTGTTTCTGAAAAAGAGGTCGTATGGTTTTAGGCCTTTAGTATGGTATACTTATCATGAGTAGACTATTTTAATTTATTTTATTTTCAATTCACAAAATTTAGGAAATCCTATTATGAAATGATAAAATTATTGTATTGCAGGATAGAACGGTTACTGGGTTTCAGGAAAGCATACGGCTGGAAGAGCTAAGAAAGGGTACAGTGGTTAAAAACCATTCTATTTTTCTTAGTACGAGTGATTACATCAATATTTGGGCTTCTTGTTTTTTCTATGACAATAGTATATCTATAGCCATAATGCCTTTCTCTTAAAGGATCATTTGAATGTGAATATTATAGTTATATAATATGAATCATTTTACAATGAATTTTTGTCGACATAGTTGGTGATGCCACTTGGTTGCCGTGTATTGAAGCCCGCTACACAAGTATTCTGTGAGAAAGAAATATATCTTATAAATGTCTTTCTATGAAAATAAAACGCATGAAGCTTTGTACTAATACAAATAATTTCTAACAATTTTTTACATGAAAAAGGTAAAGGGCTTCATTTGCATCACAAATTTGTTTAGTGACCAGAGTGCCCTAACATATAATGGCTCAAACCTAACTACTACCCCCTGAATGATGCTAAATTGTTGCTGGTTCTGCCATAGAACTTGCTGCTGATATGAATTGTTTATTGTGTTTTACCTACAATATAATTATCTAGAAGAATCTAATAGTGACTTGTTTCCCCAGAAATTCATTTGAATGATGACTGTTAATAAATATTGTGTTTGAAATTTTGCAAATCAATTCTATCTTTTATTTATTTCTTTTGGTTTGTACATGTGCAATTTAGTATCAGAGCACATGATAATGATTATGAAGTTTTGCTTAACTTTTCTGTATAGACTCAAAGAATCTTGTATGCGTTTGTAAGCATAATTACTTGACCGTGAACTGAATTAATCATTTATGAATCAAATATAGAAATGATCTCTTTCTGGATAAGTTTTGGTGATTGCTTTTGTGCCTCTCGTGCAGAGGCTGTTTTTTTTTAGGTGTTTTACTCCTATAATCATGTAATGTCTTTTCCTGTTCGCTTAGAAATGAAATATTTTATTGGAGCTGTTGGTTTCATTGTTTTATAGGAAGTGGATCAGAGCCTCCAAGAAAGAGATAAGTAAATCATGAAGCTCACTTCTTCCATCATAAGGTAAATAAATTGCATGGACGAGTTTATATTGCCAAAAAAAAAAAAAAAGGTTATTAGGAGCAACTTTAATGTATATTTTGGAATTAGTGTGTGAATTATATTTATTTATTCTTTATTATATGTATGTCTATATTTAAAATTGAAATATAGCCTGGACGGTATCTTTAAATGCTTTTGTAGATTCATACATATTATTTTCTTGGATTTGAATTTAGTTTTTGTTTGAATAATAGTTTGAATGTGATGTTCCACGAGAGAAAATATTGTATTTTTATAAGGACACAAGTGTGAGTTTTATACCACCTACATAAATTGTATTCTTTGCAAATGAATTTTAACAAAACCAAGTAGTGTGTAAGTGATAAATTGATTTACCTAATAGACCTTGGGCTTATAGATTGTATTATAGTATCTTAAGTGCATATATCTTCTATGCTCTATAGATATGTATCAATATCACCCATTCATTCACTCACAAAAATCTGCAATAAATCATTTAATTTAATTGTGTTATACACATCATACATACGCGTATAAGTTGTGGATGGCACTACTTTTGCCACGTTTCATTTTCGTAGATGAAATATTGTATAATTTGTAGCCGAATATTGTAGGCTCCTATTTCCTATAAATATGACCTTGTTGCACACTACATATTAATCTCAATCAATTTACTTACTCTTCCATATTCCATTTTCCTTTATTAAATATTATATTAAATATTATACTGCATATTCTTATATATAATATATATAAAACACACCACACACAACTATCTATCTATTATTAGTATATATATAAGCCACACATACATCTATATACATATATATATATCTACTATATACAAAATAGCGGTTCGCGATAGAAGTAATTAATATTTCTATTGGCTAATCATATACTAATATCACAACACGTTATCAGCACGATTATATATTTTATTTTCTGCAATGTAATATTGTATATTTTATCTGTTTTTTATGTCTAATCTTGCCAAACAGGAACTTCTTTCTCTCTTCGTTTCTGGCCAAAATTATATGGCCTGAGTTCGCGATGTTAAAATGCATTTGGCATCAATGGGCTTGGAAAATACCATTGCCCGGGATAAAAATTCCCCGAGCCAAGATCGTGCAAAGACCATGATCTTTTTGTGCCATCATATCGATGAGGCACTAAAATGCAGTACGTGACGTTGGAATCCGCACTTGAATTATGGGAGAGATTGAAAGAAAGATATGATCACTTGAGGCTGACTTTGTTGCCAAAGGCACGAAGTGAATGACAAAGCCTACGATTTCAGGATTTTAAAACAATCCAAAAATATAATTCTGTCATGTTTAAAATAACATCACAGCTACGCCACTAGGGCGAAAATATATGTGAATTTGATATGATGGAGAAAATTTTCTCCACTTTTCATGCCTCTAACATAGTTTTGCAGCAGCAGTATCGCGAAAGAAGCTTTTAGAAATATTCTGAGCTGATCACCTGTTTTTTGCTGGCCGAACAAAACAATGAATTGCTATTGAAAAATCACGAATCTCGGCCGACAGGTGCAAATCCATTTTCAGAGGCAAATGCAATACAACCGAAAAATCCGGTGCGTGGTCGTGGGGAGGTCAGAAATCAATAAATTGATCGCGATCAAAGCAAAATCGCGGACAGGGCCGGACAAACGCATATGGTCATAATAATTATCAAAACAGGCCCCGATATGTGTCAAATCGGCGTTGTAATGATAGAAGGTCTTACAGACCTCAACAAAGGCTCAACGCTAGGAGAAACATAAACAATGACGAGAAATGCACCCGGTGTGAAATCAAAGGCCATTGGGCCCATGTTTCTCGCAGAGCGAGGCTCTTGGCTGAACTGTATCAGGCCTTAAAAAAAAAGGCAAGGAAGAGTTGCTACCGAAACAAACCACGCTGCCTACGATGATACATTTGACGATGTGATGAATAAAAATATCACGCACCTGGATGCCAATGGTCTGCTTGACATAGCTGATTAAATGATAAAATATTGTTGTCTCTCTTTTGTTATTTTACTGTTTTATGCCCTTTTTTTGTATTACCCCCTATAATATAAGTCTGTTTTGATTATGTTAATAATACATGTCTTTTATTATTTTTACCTTATTGCAAAGATATGGATGCCAAATATTTTGGAGCCGATGACAATATCTGTCTTATCGACAGTGTTACGACTCAAAACATTGTGAAAAATAAATGTTATTTCTTCTACCTAAATATGGGAAAGACCATTATTGTAACTATCAGTGGTGCATCGAAAATGATTGAAGGCTCAGGAAAAACTATTGTATTTCTCCTAAATGGACAAAAATGACAATTAAAAATGCACTGTTCTCGAGCAAAGTTCAAAGGAATTTACTGAGCTTCAATAATATTTGGAAAAATGGGTATCACATTGAAACATTGAATGAGACAGAAAATGAGTATCTCCTGATAACTCAGATTGTGAATGACAAAAGAATTGTGAAAGAAAAATTGTCATCATTTTCTTCCGTTACATATTATTCAAAAGTCAGTGTCGTTGAAATATGTCACTTAGTAGGCCAAATGGCTGCTAGCGAATTTAAAACTTGTCACGGTCGACTTGGGCATCCTGGCAATCTAATACAGAGGCGAATTGTTGAAAATTCAAATGGCCATTCATTGAAAAAGAAAAATATTTTGAGTCCGAATGAGTTTGCTTGTGCTGCCTGTTCCCAAGGGAAGTTAATAATCAGGTCATCTCCAACAAAGGTTGGATTTGAATCCCCAGCTTTTCTAATAAGAATTCAAGGTGATATTTGTGGATCAATAGATCCACCGTATGGATCCTTTAAGTACTTTATGGTACTAATTGACGCGTCAACTCGATGATCACACATATATTTGTTATTTATTCGCAATCTGCTTTTTACTAGACTACTTGCACAAATAATTAAATTGCGAGCACAATTTCCAGATCACTCGATAAAGAAAATACGTTTAGATAATGCTGGAGAGTATTCATCACATACATTTGATGATTACTGCATGTCAATTGGGATTACTTTGGAACATCATGTTCTCCACGTACATACGCAAAATGGTCTCGTTGAATCCCTCATCAAAAGTTTGCAATTAATTGTTAGACCATTGTTAATGAGGTCTAAATTTCCTGTATCAGCTTGGGGACATACTATATTGTATGCAGCAGCCCTCGTGAAAATAAGGCCAACAAGTTATCACTGTTATTCCCCTACTCAATTGGTATCTGGAAAAGTACTAAATATATCTCACTTGCGAATTTTTGGATGTGCTATTTATGTGCCAATTGTACCACATCAACGGACAAACTTGAGACCTCAAATAAGGTTGGGTATATATGTCGGGTATGAATCGCCCTCGATTGCGAAATATCTTGAACCAACAACGAGTAATTTATTTATTACAAGGTTTGCAAACTGTCACTTTGATGAATCTCATTTTCTGACATTAGGGGGAGACAGTAATCAACTGAAAAAAAAATCGTGGAAAATACCACTTGAATTTGAAAAGAAATTTAATGGAAAATACCACTTGAATTTGATCATCGTACGAAACATAGTGAACTTGAAGTTCAAAGAATTGTACATTTGCAGAAAATTGCAAATCAATTGTTTGATGCTTTTAATGATGCTGCCAGAGTTATGAAATCATATATAGCATCAGCAAATGCACTACCTAAAATAAATATCCCATAAGGGAAGGTACCGATTGCTAATGAGCATACGACCCGCATAAAATGTGGCAGGCCGTTGGGTTCCAAGGATAAGAATCAACGAAAGAAGAAAATTGTAAATATTGGTAAAGAAATCAACAATGATCAGATACCTGAAAAGGTCAATACAACCATTGAAGAGGTTGATACTAAAAATTATGATGAAAGTGATGATGAAGTTATTGAAACTTTCGTTAACTATAACATCAGTGGAAAATATTAGAACAGAAATAAAACAAATATTGATAATGCATTTGCATATTCTGTAGCACTCGATATAATGAAATATGACGAGGATTATGAACCAAAATCAATTGATGAATGTCGGCAAAGAGATGATTGAGCAAAATTGAAAGATGTAATCAAGTCTGAATTGGACTAATTGAATAAACGACAAGTATTCAGCCATATAGTCCAAACACCTGTAAATGTAAAACATGTTGGCTACATGTGGGTGTTTGTGAGAAAAAAAATAAAAAAAATGATATCACAAGATATAAAGTAAGACTTTTAGCCCAGGGTTTTTCCCATAGACCTGGCATTAACTTTGAAGAAACATATTCGCCGGTCATAGATGGAATAACATTCATGTATCTGGTGAGCCTGTTAGTACACAATTATCTTGATATGCGATTAATGGATGTGGTTACTGCCTATCTTTATGGCTCCTTAGACAATGACATCTACATGAAAATCCAAGAAGGGGTTAACATACCTGAATTATTCAAATCAAAGCCAAAAGAATCATATTCCATCAAATTGCAAAAATCTTTGTATGGGCTCAAGCAATCAGGCCGAATGTGGTACAATTATCTCAGCGAAAGCCTAAAAAAGAAGGTTACATAAATGACCTTATCTGTCCATGTGTTTTTATAAAGAAAAATGGGTCAGGATTCGTAATCATCGTTGTATATGTCGATGATCTCAATTTAATTGGAACTCCTGATGAAATCCAGAAAGCTGTTGAATATCTAAAAAAAGGAGTTTGAGATCAAAGATTTTGGAAAAACTAAATTTTGCCTTGGTTTGCAAATTGAGCACTTAAAAAGTGGAATCTTTATCCACCAATCAAATTATACGAAAAAGGGTACTGAAACAATTTCTGATGGATAAGTCACATTCGCTAAGTACCACAATAATCGTCAAAGCACTCGATCCAATAAAGGATCCATTTAGACCAAAAGAGGAAAACGAAGAAACACTTGGCCCTGAAGTGCCATATATGAGTGCTATAGGCATATTAATGTATCTCGCCAACAACACCCGGCCTGATATATCATTTGCTGTAAATCTATTCAGTTCATCACATACTCGACGACATTGGAATGAGATTAAACACATCTTTTGCTATATCCAAAGAACAACTGATCTCGGGTTATTTTACTCGAAAGATTCTCGACATGAATTGATTGAATTTGCCAATGCAAGATATTTATCGGATCCTTATAAAGCCAAGTCTCAAACTGGCTATATATTTACTTGTGGCGAAACTGTGATATCTTGGAGATCAATGAAACAAACTTTAACGATCACTTCTTCAAATCATGCTGAAATATTTGCAATTCACGAAGTTAGTCGATAATGTATTTTGTTGAGATCAATGACTCAACATATTATTAAAAATTGCGGGTTAATATAAAATTCCACCAACTACATTGTATGAAGATAATACGGCTTGTATAGTTCAATTGAAAATGGGTTACATTAAAGGAAATAGAATGAAACACATTTCACCAAAATTCTTTCACTCATGATCTTCAGCAAAATGGTGAAATCAATATGCAACAAATTTGATCAGATAATAATTTGACGGATATATTAACCAAGCTTTACCAATTGCAACATTTGAAAATTGATAAAGAAAATAGGAATGCGTCGGTTCAGGGATCTCAAATAATGCTCAGATCAGGGGGAGAATCAATACAAGAATAATGTACTCTTTTTCCTTCACTAAGATTTTTTTCCACAGAGATTTTTCTGAGTAAGGTTTTAATGAAGAACATTCTTCGTATAAAAACATCCAAAGAGGAGTATTATACACATCATACATACGTGTATAAGTTGTGGATGCCACTACTTTTGCCACGTTTCATCTTTGTAGATGAAATGGTGTATAATTTATAGCCAAATATTGTAGACTCCTATTTCCTATAAATATAACCTTGCTGTAATGAAAAGTTATTACACACTAGATATTAATTTCAATTCATTTACTTACTCTCCCGGATTCCATTTTCCTTTATCAAATATTATACTGCATATATACATCTTTTCTTATATATAATATATATAAAACACAAGCACACACAACATACTATCTTTATTATTATATATATAAGCCACGCATACATCTATATACATATATTTATATATCTACTGCATATATATACTACATCTATATTTGTATAATATAGTAATTAATATTTCTATTGGTTAATCCTATACTAATATCACAACAAGTTGTCTATATTGTGTTATATAGTTGTTCTTGTTATTATTATTATTCTAATGAATGGCCTGGTACCACATATCTCTTATCAAGTACTACTTCCGTGCGGCTTTAAGGGTTGTATTTATTTTTTGTGTGTTGATATTTAAATATTAATTATTATATCGAAACATAGTACAAATTAAAGAAAAATGGCAAAAATACTTCTATTTGTGTATTATAATACTAATATAATGATATTTGTACAAAAAATTATACAAATATAAAAATATTTTTAATGTTAAATACAATGACGCAAACTATAAATATAATCCTTGAGGCAGATAGAGGTAGTATAATTCATCACTTATCTATCTCAATTCAATTTTTTTGGTGGTGTTTAATTTGTTCAGCAAATGGGCAGACAAACAAGGTTTACAATTTTTTTCGCATTGTATTTTGGTGTGTATGGCAATGTTAATTAATACTGAGACTAACTGGTAGGGTATGAGAATAGTAAATGTTTGATGCGATAGTTGTGGTGGAAAACCGGATGAGTTGCTGGAGTTGGGGTTTGATTATATATATGTGTGTGTTTATGTGTATATATATATATGTATGTGTTTGTGTGTATATATATATATTAGGATTCGTGCGCGCATACGCTGCGTATGAGCCATGTTGGAGAAAACTTGTTATAAGGTAGTGATTATTTGATATGCATGAAGAAATGGTCGATTAGTACGAGTTAATAGAAGTTGATTGAGTCAATTTATATTTGTGTTTGAGATCATTTTCGCTTGAAAAAAATGTTTCATGTGATTGAGAGATAGGTGGAGACTCTAAAAGCTTCCTCTTCAACAGACTGCAAATTTAGGGGAATACTCTATTTCTGGACTAAGAATTTTCCATCCGACTTTATATTCTGCTCCAATTTTAGAGCAAGCTACATATTCTTTTTTTTTTATTTTTTTTTTAGTTTGGTCCTTGA